GCCTGGTCCCCGCCCCGCCCCGCGGAGGAGGGCTGCCAACTTGCAAACGAGGGAAGCGGCCCTCGGGACGTTCACCGCGGGAGAGCGCAGCTCCTCCCCTTTGAAGCGAATGATTCCGACGGCAGCACAACGCGAACATAGGAAAGGTGTGCACCCGCGTTCGTGGAGTCTATTATATCTGCTGTTCTCTACAAAGAACGCCCGTGAATTTCTAGGATCTCAAAACTTAATTTTATGGAGCCCAAATGTGTCCTGAAATGAAACCTAAATATTCCCGAGATAATTGAATTTCCCATTAATGGAGCACACAAATTCATGAATCTAACTAAATGAATGTTCGGGTTAGAAATTAAAATTAAGACTACTTTTAATAATTATTTTTTTAATTTAATTTAATTTCTATAATTACTTCAGTCTATTTTTGACTGACTAATTTTGTCTAATGTTTTGTACAAATTGTATTTAAAATGCAATACAGAAAATCACCGTTGTTTTCCTATTGGAAATTTAAACTCACAAATGATATATGAGTAGTTCATTCCTTAAGATGGTATTTTTATATTTATATTTCGCTAAAAACATAACTCTTACTTTAACCATATTCACAAGCTGAGTATTATTTTGAAGTCATGCGAATCTTTTAAAGTAGACAATATTTATTCCAGAGAATAAAACTTCTCGTGGCACGGAAAGAAAGAAATGCTGAGCAATGAGTCTACGTCTGTAAATGACAATACAATTTTCAAAACGCAAAAATTGTTGATGTGAATCGTTTGTCGCGAAATGTTTATGCATTGTCGTCCCGTCCTACTCGTGCAAGCTCTTGTTTTCGAACATCTGCTACACACTTCGCCGTCCTGCAAAGCCAACACTGCGTCAGTTGATGGCCTCTCCTCAGAACCCAGAGCGAAAACGGCGCGAGGACAAGCTCTTACACTCGCACAATGGCGAATCGTTTCGATGCGTGCGGAGGTATCGGAGGCATGGAATCCAAAACAGCGAGGGGTAGCGAACTGCCAGGGGTGGGGGCGGAGGGGAGGTTGCGCGCAGCGATGACTCATCCGCCCGACGGGACGGAGAGCGCCCGTTGCGGCACTCGCGCCACACGGTGGCGGGAAGTGGAACTAGGTGCGATCAACGCTCTTCGGGAATGCAGTTTAGCGCGATATATTTATGCTGTTTAACTCCATTTCTCAAAATCGTTTCCAGCAGTATTTTTATTTTATCGTATAGTTTGTGTGGAGAGTGGTATGGAACGCATAGAAAAAAAATCATATTTTGACCCAAAAAAATTGAAAATCACGAAAAGTTATTTTGAGTTGTTCCGGGAACAAAAACTTGTGCCCTTGTCATCCTGGTTGCAATATAGTACACGATTCTAAAGGCCGCTGTCTCAGAGTTACTTTGCAAGTCCGTAGGAAATTATGCGTTGGACAGATTCATGGTTTTTCGTTAAACACCAGGCCGAAAGCTGAAGCTTCGGCATGAAATTCCACACACGTAGTGAAGCATCACTGCACCTTGCAAGTAATTTATGCAATTAAAATACGAGTTGTAAATACGACGCTTTTTCATTAGTGGTATTCGTTGAACATGCTTACAAAAATCCCCTGGTTCCGTTACATTGGCTAAATCAAGCCACACTTCACTATTGAAATCCATGAAGGGACTAACACAGAAGATGAGCAAAAATGGCGTTGATTTCTGGGAAGTAAACTAAATCCTAAATTGTAATTTTTGTGGATACTTTACATAAAACCTCTGTGACATTTACAAAAATTTCGGAGAAATGTTTCTAATAGTTTTTTAATTTGTTTGCTCGAATAGGAAAAAATGTATAGTTACGTTATTGAACCTGTCCTAAACGAATAATATTAAAGCCAGATTTTTCTATTCCAATGCATTTCATCAATCAATTTTAGACCTTTAAATGATGCCAAGCACTTAAAAAAGTATGAGTAGTTGTACTAAAAGGATGAAAAATTTCGGTATCTCGCGCATTCCCTCTAGTTTCTAAATAAAATCTATATCTCAAAATTACATTTTAATAGTTATTTATTTAACTAGACATGAGCACAACAGTTACGTAAATAGCCAGCCCGTACAGAAAGTTAGTTTTGGCGTACGATTTGAATGTCAACGGAAGAGACGACGATAGAAGCCGATTCAAGTACATTGAAATGACAACGCTAAGGTAACTTTCGTATGAGTTGTGTACATTATTTTTTAGCTCGTGGAAATTAACTTTTTTCACTCTCGGAATCATTGTCGATAAAGAGGCGGCATTTATGAGGATTCGTGTCTTCTTATTTGTTTTATTTACTTTTCAGTACTTAGTTGTTTTATATGGTCGCAGTACCGCCAGGTAACACTTTCTGATTAATAAACAATGAATATATTTACTAGTTCCCATGCACAGGTGCTGAAAAATTAATTAAAGCACACTTTCCCAAAATGTAAGTAGTTTTCGCGTACTTCTGAGTGAACTCGATACTATTTTCTATAAATATTTTAACAAGAATTTTTCAAAAACAGCTCCAAGGTTTTTGTTTTAATCTCTTTGTAAAGACAGATTCCATTACGCAGATTCTGTGGTGCAAGTACCATTTTCATTTAAAAAGTAATGTATCCTTGTTGGTCCTTATTTCGGAGAGAACAACTACCGAAGGTGTTTGCAAAGTGCACTATGCTACTAAGCACGGGCGCGAATGCAGTAAGTAGATGACAAGTGTGGTATAACTGTGTTGGTTGGTAAGTGCGTGTCCTTTGCTTAGCAACTCGCAATACACACGTGTGTGCCGGTACAAGGCCAACAAATCTTGGGCTCTAAAGAAATTATATCCACTGGAGGGGAAATAAATATTAAAAAAATATGAAGAAATAACACTTATCCTACTTTTTATTCTAGTATAAATCGATCATATTGTAGCTGTGAAAATACTAATATAATGTTTAGTTTTCTGATGATACCAGCTGACTATCGAATCCAGATGGAAATGCTTTTCAAGGGAAAAGCGCAAGCTTCATTTTCCGATAGAAAGAAAAGGAGCTCTCGAATATCAGGGTAAAGTTTAGCACAAAATCCCTGATAATTTTTGTAAATGATGTCGATATTTTGAATTGTGATAAATCAATTGAACGAGAATAAATTGTTAAACAAACACTTGCCACTTACGAATAAGCTTTTTTAAAGAAGTTCAATCTGTTGCAGATGCGTGCACATCACCGACATCGGCGTGGGCTACATCTCCACCATGCTGTCGCTGTCGGCGTTGTTCCTCCGCTGGTGCTCGCAGGTGCGAGACTTCGGGTTGCAGCATCTCTGCGGGATGCGCAACCTGCAGGTGCTCTCCCTCGCAGGTGAGACGTCTTTTGTCTGTGGATCCTGGTCATGGCCGCGGGGTTGTTCTTTCTCGCGCACATCTCATCCACAAATTCAATAACTCCCGTGGACAACGGAAGGATATTAAGACACTAAAATGTTATCTGGAATTAAGGCGCTAAATTCGCTACACGCATTAGGTACTGCAGTAGAACTACGTGAACAAATTGAAAGAAAGAAAAGTATTCAAATTATTCAAAACCTGCCTTCTCCTCCTCCTCCTCCTCACCATTTCCAATTTTAAAGATAGAATGAACTAATATTGTTAAATTTTATGAAGTTGCTAACATTGACATCCTGTATTGATTTTTTTTATTAATTATTATTATTATTATTATTATTATTATTCTTATATTATTATTATTATTATTATTATTATTATTATTAAAATATATTCTAGGTGTCTAAATAGTGTTAATAAAATAAAATATGCATGAAAATAGAAACTCAAAATTTGAAAGGAAAAAGCTGTGCACATGAATTGCACTTGTAAGTAAAATTATAAAATTTTTATTTAAAACAATATAACATGAGGGAGTATAATAAATTATATAACGTTGCAGGGTAAGTTATAAGCCTATATTAATGTCAAAAATGTTCTTATTTACTTTACTTTCTGCAACTGATTTTGCAATACTAATAATTTAACACTTCTAAGATTGATGCATTCACATACTCAGATATTTGTTACACAGTTTTGTTTCATATGATAAAAGGGAAATCCTCTATTTTAGAATGTCAGAAATCGGGTAATCAACTTATCCCAAGAAGCAAGGTTGTGTCACGCTTCTGGACACCCAAGATTCTGCCATTTGAATTGAAGGGCTCAGTAGAACAAGGGGTTATCCCACATTGTCATAGTTCTGAAATAATGACAGTTTTACCTAAACTTCCCTCATATAACTCAGTACATTTTTAAACTTTTCAACACAGTGCGTTTGCATATAAGTCCATACTGTATTTAAATAACATATTACACTTTAAGAATAATATTTGAAAATTTGTATAATGCTAATAACTCAATAAAAAAAAATTAAAAGAAAATAAATACAAAAAATAAAAAAAAAGTGTGATAGCCCTTCAATTTCTATTGGTGTGAAGAAGGGCAATCTGAAGCAACAAAGCATAATTTTTAGCTCCAAAGAAATAGAATGTGGCTTGAAAAATGGAAAATGCTTCAAATATTGATATTAAACTATTATTACATACATTTTTTAAAAAGGCAGTTAAAAAGATAAATATGCCTAAAATGGTATTTATATCAAAATGGATGTAAAGAAAAGAATAGTTAGAATATTTAATTTTTTGTTGGAATATTTATTTTTTCATAATTTGTGCACGTATACTAAAAGCTTTTAAATAATATGTTCATTAGAATAAAATGTTCCGAAACAACTGATGAATAATACTTTGATAATTGGTTGATCCAGATTTATCCAGATCTAATTGAAGTATATCATGAACCATACAACTTATACAGCATTGTCAATGAATGTGTTTGTAGTTGTGAATTCATGTGTCATTCTGACAGACCTTCTCATTTCATTAGCTATTTGCTTTAATCATAAGTGAGAATTTTGAAAAATCTCTAAGCACAGATACCATTTTGACGAATACCACATGATTAGTACTATTTATACACATTATAGTGATGGTTTAATAAAAAGTTAATATTTTATTGCTTGACATTCTGAAATTGTTTCAGAACGTAAAAGCAAATAATAGTAATTCAGCTGATTTGGGTGATTGTATCACTGAATGGTAAAAATTTTAATGAGATTTAACACAAGAAATAATAATTTTTGGTACTTCTAAACATAGCTAACATTATTTTCCAAGATTTTTGCAAGCAAAATTTAGTACATTCTATAGTTTCTGAACATTTGCCATTTTCAATGTCAAGTGGTTGAAAAAAGGGCTTTCACTCAGTTTATTAGAATATTTTATTGTAATTGAATTAGAAAATTAAATTACAAATGTGAAATTCTTTCTAGGAGAAGTTTTATACTATGGAAATACTAGTTTCATGTGAAGTACCTCTTAAAAGTAAAAGATTCCTTTCAGACTCATAGAGCCTGAAGCTGGGACAAATTGATTGGAGGAAATCCAATAAATATAAAATACAAATAAATAAATATATAAAAAAATAAATTATATGTGGTATAGAGGCTAGTGTTGTTCACAATCAGAATAGAGGCAAAGGTTTTTGAAGAAAAAAAACTTTTTCAGCTTCTGTCTGTATCAGTCAAAAGGCTGGTTGGATTCTCTATGTGTTACTAATGAGGCAAGCTACGCAATGTGGAGAACGTTGTGTAGTTTGTTGTTTTCCGTTCCCAACCGGGGGGAGCCGAAGCACCCTTCAGTCTTCCATGCTTCACAGCACAACCCACACTTCCAGCAGCTTTCTGTTGGCCCCAGTTACAGAGACTACAACATGTTACTGTGTTGCAGAAGCTACAAATGTTTCTTGCTCCTTGCCTTTTCAGAATGAGGGGCACTCACAATTTGTATTTCCATCAAAATCTTAAGATCAGTCTTTACAAAAGGACATTCCTCTCTCTATTTACACAATGGCACATGCAAGAGGGGCATCGGAGATCATGAGGCTTCATCTTCCCCAGAAACTGATGTTATATCCACAAATATAGTTTTTACAAATTTTCTCTATAAACAGAAATGATTCAGTACCTCATTTGAATATGTAAGCATAAATCAACAACATAAAAATAAATTTTAAATTTAGCATAAATGAAAAATTATTTATAGTAACACATCAATTCAGTTGGACACTACCCCCTCGTACACACACACTCAGAAAAATCTTGGTTGCATCACTGAACACATGAGAAAGTAAAATGCAGACTTAGCTAGCTAGCTCTGTAGTACATGATGTTTTAAATGATCAAATATTACTCTTTAATTTGGTAAAAAGTGATTGCTAACCGAATTATAATTTGTATTATTTTTTGCAGGTTGTCCACTCTTGACATCCAGTGGCTTGTCAAGCCTTATACAGCTTCGGCACCTTCAAGAGTTGGAGCTTACCAATTGTCCAGGAGCATCAAGAGAATTGTTTGACTATTTGAGAGAACATTTACCTAGATGTCTTATAATTGAATAAAAAGAAAAAAAAATATTTTTCAGTGTATTTCAAAATTTATGATGAAAGATGCAGGCAAATTATTTTTCTTTTTCAGTTCCTTGGAAGACCATTTCTTGTGTGTGTTGGTACAAACTGTGTGCCTGTGAAGTGTTTCTTGTGGTTGGACTCCAAGAGGATTGAAAACTGATTTGCATACAAACTCAACTGAAGTCTATTGAATATTATACAAAATACAATTGTTAATTATATGACAGGTATATTTTTTCCCACCATTCCAGTCCAGCTGGCTTTTAAATACAAGGAGCCAAATCATGGGAAATTGTTTACAAACAGAGGCTTTTGGAATCACAGCCTCCCAAAAAGACTGAAGTTGTTTTATTGATTTAGGATGTACTTCTTCACATTTGTATACTGTTATCTGCACTATCTGATAATTATCTGTCCCTTTCACCTTCTTCATATTATAGAATTATAACAATATTTGTCCAAACCTGTAACCAGTCAAAATTATTTTCTCTTTTTAATGGTAATTTACCATTTTCTTTTAGATAAAATTCAAAATTTTATTATGAAGATTGGTAATTATTTTACCTTAATAGTTCGTAGGCCAGGATGCATTCCAAAACTTTGTTTTAATTTTTAGATTACAATTGTTTATAAAAGATTTCTCCCAAATATTTTTCCGTATGTATCTTTTATTTACATAATTTCATATTTTCCCTTAGCATTTGCTCAATAATATCCACTGATAAAAAAAAAACGAAACTATGTACATAAAACCTCACATTGCAAATTTTATGTAATTGTGTGCAATATTTACCTGTTCTCAAAATTCTATTTGAGAATTAAAGACGAGGAAAGGAAATATGGACGATGCAGTATATGAAACCTACACAGTAGACAAATTTTGTTAAGCTTCCTAATGCCTTTCCATTGTTTTACACCAAACATTTGCATAGTCAGATGAAAAATCATATATGTGCTGTCAACCAGCTGGCTAGAATATTTACTCCAATTTCTTTCTCCTTGAATGTTGCCACTCTTTCATAATCACCTTCTCTCAAATTGAGAGTACATTAGGTACCTCAGTCAATCATGTTCAGTGAGGGAGAAATTCTCTGATCTGCCAGAAGAACACTCCCTAGCTTTTTTGTGTTGTGCAACAATTGGTGTTCTGATTCACAAACATTAAAATCTGATGATGTATCACAGCAGCATTATGAAGAAGTAGAAGGAAATACCAAACATACGAAAACAATGTGTTGTTTTTGTGATATATTGCAGTATGTCAATGATGTTCACTATCTTTTACTCTTGTTTCACTGTGCTAGTCAAGTTGGTGATTTTATTTGTCATAAAAATGTTAGCTAGAACAAATGTGTATCCCAAAGCTTGGACTCCTTTATGGCCCCTTATTGTTGGCAGTTTGTTCTGGCAGAAAATTAAGTGTTCTCCTTCAAGACCGCTTATTGCGCTTGTAATGATCATCTACAATTGTTAGTGGAGGTGATCAACCAATGATCTGTGGACCACACAACCTCAAATTCAAACTATGAAAATTGTTTATAGTGCTGTCTTTTAGTAATTAAAAAAGGATTACCTACTTGTAGTTATGGTCTGAGAGTTGTATATAACACTTTGAATAACATATCAAGTCTGTTTGACGTGATTGTTATTGTAATGAAATGAAGATGCTAAGAAGCATAAGCTGCATTGCTAAACCCATTGCTTTTGGTGAGCTGTTGTTGAGCCAGACTGTTCTAAACTGTAGGCAATAATTATTCTTATTTTAAGTGTGTTCTCACAGTGAGGATAAGAATGGCCCACATGACCGAGGTTGATGCTCCATTGTTGGGGCATATCCCATTTTCAAAATTCCTCTTGTTGTACCAATTAACAAGTAATAACTTTGTACTTCTGACCTGTGATGTACATAAATTAAGGTAGTTCTCACTGCAATAACATTTTCATGCCATATGAAATAGATAAGATGTTGTTTATCTCTGTTATGACTATTTTCATAAATCTGCAATGTGATAAACAGGCATAATAGACTTGAAAATTGATATAAAAATATGTATATCAAAGCCAACAGTGAATTGAAAAACCAAATGCGCTTGTCTATTCTTTTCTCTGAGCAAGAGATATTGTTTTAACAACCACAACGCTATTTATCTTCTGGTTTGACTAGCCAAAAGTAAGAGGTATGTTAATCTTTCATTTATTTCTAAACAAGTGTTTACAACTGTGCAAACATCATCCAAATTTTTTTCAATTGTAAAAATTTATGCACAGCTTATATTTACTTCTTATGTATTTCAGTATGTGGCATTTGCACTTCATTTTATTATAGGTGTTTCATTCCAAAATCAATCCTTTAGTCGTTTCCCCAAAACTAAGTTGTGCATATATGTATTAGTTGCTGTGTATGGTGCTTCTTAGCTTCATGCTACTGAATGTACAGTCACTATAGACCTTAGTGTGTATCTGTTTAAACATAAGGATTACCTGAAAAATGTGTAAATATTGTACATTTCTTACTGGTAATTCAGCATCTTAGTTTTAAAACAAAAGTCAATAAAGTAGTTGTTCTGTCTGAATAAAATTTATTCACATGAAACATTTATTCGATTCAACAATTCACTACATCCAATGTCTGAACTTATTATGAAAAACAAAGTATTATAGTAGTAAAAACAATATTTTTCTTTCTCAGAAAGTTTTTAAAATGTTTAATATTTGATACAAATATCTTAAAATTTTCTAAAACTGAGTCAGAAACTTTTTTTAATTGTACTTTCCAACACTTCTTGATGCTTCCACAACAGTTTTCATGTCTTCCAAGTACATTTCATGTCCACCAAGATACCAGTCCTAGACCTGGTTCACTAATACTTGCCTGAAAAAGAAATGCAACGATGAAACCACTATTTTTTAAATATAATTGTACTCCCAGATATGAAAATGTTCTATAAAATTTCCTTCATTTTCACTTTCTAGAAGTAACAAGCACTTTTAAATTACAGACAAATTATATTTTGGTGCAAAAGAATAAGAATTTAAAGACATTATAAAAATGGATATACACAGCTATAAAGTAATGAAGCAATTCACACGATAAATAAATGAAAAGATAAATGTGATGTACACATTTGCCTTAAGAAGGTAACAAAGTGAGGGCTCTGGGTCAGACTTCCAAGGTATTCTTCAGTCTCTGCTCTGAGGAAAAGCGATTGGGGGTATGGGCAGATTATGTAAATTTATGGTAATTGAAAAATATTGGCTGAGAATATTTAAATACAATTTTGCAAATACTTTCTTTTATTTTTAATAGACTTGCTTTCAATACTCTTAAAATTAACAATTTTAAAGACCAAAAATGGTGAAATTTACTTTTTTTTTTTTTTTCCTCCTTTGAAAGTTTATTAGTGATAATTTTTTCTTTTCTTTTTGTTCTTGAACTATATTTCAATTAACACATCAAAACTCACAGAACTGTCTATTGCCAAGTTTAAGTAAAATAAACAAAGTAAATTTAATTTTTGATGTTCAAGTTCATAAAAATACCATAGTATTTTTGTATCAAAAGCATTCATCACCAATAACCATTGTATATGGTATCAAAAGTGATATGTTTAATAAAATTTCAGATCAAGTGAGCAAAGTAAGTAATTTATACGTTTATGTCATTATTAATTAATTAATACTACTATTCAAATTTCTGAATTTGCATTTAAGCATCTTCACTCTTTATTCACAATATTTGAAACTATAAATAACAGAGAACTTTGTCAAAGACCAATTTCTATCCATTTGTTTCTACAATAAGAGAGAAAGTTTACATTACCAAATATTCTTGCAGTAAACAGCACTAATACTGAATTATGATTCACAAATATTCTGAGCAACCTAAGAAATCCATCATCTAAACAGACATTTAAAGACTTCATTTACTGTGAAGAAAGTTTTCAAAACTATGCTTACTGTATCTTCTTTTAAAAGAATATCTTAAAAACTTAAGTTTACTACTGTTACAATTTATTAAATTTAAATTAACACTTTTTATTTATTTAAATTAACACCAAAAACCTATCACAAGCCAGGCGCAGATCTGCAGGGATGGAAATGAGGGAAATCCCCCCCCCTCTAAAATTTTTCAGTAACTATTAATTTCATCTTGTAACAAAACTTTCAAGCAAAAATATTTTCGGATAATCATTGAAACAAATATTGCATTGCATCATTAGCTAGTAAAGCCTACGACATTTTCAAAATCTGTAATATGCCACCTTCAACCAAAATATTTTGAATTTTCCCTCCCAAAATTTGTCTCTAGATTTGCCCCGGCAAGCAAATTTATTTTTTTGAAAATAATATTCTTTCCAATAAAATTTTTTTCTAGCTCCATAAGCCAGAATATTCTCACCATCGAAAGTGAGGCATTTTAACGTGTGTGGCCATATATAAAACTACCTGATATTTCTCTCACTTTTCTCATGCATGTCCATGATATTTCAATTCAAATTTACTATGAATTTCAAGACAGTAAGATTCAAGCTTATAATTAGTCATGAGGTTTTTAATTTTTTGTGACAATACACATTTGTGCATGAGTTAATAGCTCATATGGTCACCCTCCATTACAATGTTCTTTAAGTTCTACTTAGAAATTCCAAGAAAAATGCCTGACTTTCTCAGGTCCTCAATTCTTTAGCATTATGTCAGTAATTTGACTACCTCACAGACAAAGATTCCCCTCATAACACCCTTCGTCTCCTCCACCAAGGATTTCTCCCTCGCCAGAGCGGAATGAACTTCCTCAAGTTGCACCATATACTAGACTTCAGCCGGGAAATTAAATTAAAAGAATATTTTAGAGCAAATGAAAGTATTTACATTAGGATACAAATATCATTTACTTACTGTTATAGTATACGGAGCAATCTTCTCTTTTTCAGTAGTTTCAGAAGATTCTTGTTCTTCAGGTTTGCTATCACAAGGAATAGTTTCTACAAATTTGTTTCCTGTTACACGAAATCGTATTGGCTCACCTAGAACCAACAACAATAAAAATAGTTTTAAATACATGATTTCTTCTTCTTGTGTGATATAAAACAATGGGCATAATAATTTAACCTGGATCCATAAACAAGTCATGCTTTCCATCTTTTGACTCATACTCCCATATCCATACTTTCTCATCTTCATCATATCTACATGGTTGCTGAAGAGATTCTGGTGATATAATGATATTATCAAAGAATCCTAGAGTCACTGCAAAAATGTAGAAAATGCACTTCAGCAACACAACATTTCTGAGTATTTAAATAAAAGATGTGCAGAAACCTACCACGCACACCTTCTTCACTACAATTTTTTATTTTGCCTAAAATTACTTCTTCAGAAAATGGTTTGAATACTACTAATCGGAAATTAACTTTTGTATGAGCTGCTCCATCTCCAGGAAGAATAAAGGATTCTTTTATGCACGTAATATCAAAAAGGGCAATGCACAATCCAACCTCTTTTATAACCTATAATGTGACATATATCCATTAATATAAACTAATATTAAATTATTAAACTACAAATCTTTAACACACAGGAGCCAGACAAACATTTTTTGTGACACAACCTTGCCAACTAGGGTTTTGGTGAGATCTTCTGCGATTGCTTCATTAAGATTAATTCCGAACCGATGGGGTGGAACTCTCAAAGTTTTTGTCATTTCTGCGAGAACGAACATGGTGAAATGACATGCGTATGACACTATTGGAAATTGCGCCTCACACTCTTCCGAATAACAACCACTAATATGACAATTATTTACACGTTATAATCAGAACAATGTGATGGTCCAATACGTTGGGTGATACGTGATATTCCATCGCTTATCAATTACACGGACCACATATTTGAAATATCCCATCAATACACAACATAACCTGATTTGTAAACAAATATTACAATTGTCTAGTCAAAGACTCTTTGACGTTTTGAGCCAGAGAGTTTTGAGCTATTGTTTAAAAATTGAAAGGCGACTCACAGCTGATCACAGAGAAAACACTTCGGATCTTCCAATGAATGACTTCCGTGTTTCGCCATCCTTGTCAATGCTCTTGGCCCCAGCCAGCCCCAGCATCCAGCTCATCAATATTGCCAATCTTCTAAATATTATACTCTGATTAACATTTACGACAAATTTTTACTTTTGATTAGTTGAAACATGATTATCAATCGAAAGTTTTAATATCCAAAATTCAAGATGTAACAAAGCTCTCGAAGTCTCCTGGATAATCGTGTAACAACTGATCGCGTTGTCTAGTGTGACGCAGTGTGTGGGAGTGTGCGGAGTATATGGGCTGGTGTGCAGGAGCCGGGCCTTACAGCGTGGGCGTGTGGGAATGAGTTCACCATGCGTCGATTTACACCCCCACCCCCACTGTGAATCTTACGTTGAATGCGTGATATCTCAATTGTTATAAATTAACATTGAGATGTAAATGGTTATAATACAAAATAATTGTCAGACACGATGAGTAAGCGCTGTGGTGTGAGGGACTTTTATGGTGCTCACAAAAAATTGAGAACAACTGTTTGTTCAACATCAAATACTGCTTTGACCGAAAATGATACAGTACAAAATGCACAACTACCTTCAGACACTGAATCAGCTATTACATATTTAAAAAACACATTCCCTTTGGAGAAATTCAATGAGAAACTCCCGCCTGTTCTGTTGGTTCATCAAATATATAGTATTGTACAGTGTAAAACAACAGTAGATAAACAAATAGTAAGTTATATGGTTCTTATTTTAAGTTCTGATTGAACTTCTAATAATATAGTAATTATAAAATGGATTTTTATTTAAATTTTTCAGAGAGCTCTACAATCCAAAGGCACAATTCGCCTATTTAAACTGGGTGGAGAAGAAACTGCTTTTGTGATCATATACACAGAGGATTTACAAAAACATATTTCTAAGAATTGCCCCCAGAAGCATGTTGTTAATATATTTGTCAATGACATTTTACCTTCTGTACAAGATGTCATCATAGAAAAATCCATTCTTAAGAATAATTTTTCCCTGTCAGACTCTTGTATCAGGTATTAACATGTAAATTGAATTTGGAAAATGAGGACTTAGGAAAGTTCACTCAGTTATTATTACGTAATTTTTTCACAGTGAATTGATGAATTGTGGCCTGTTAGCTGCTCGATCAATAACAAGTTTCTGGTTTTCATTTCCTAATGCGGGTGAATTCATGAAGACTTACTTGAGAGGCAGAAAGTCAGTAATACGTACAATTCGAAAATGCAAATTCAGTGAAATATTACAGAATGTAAGTAAGAAATCAGTATTGTAAGTTATGCATCTTGCACTTAAATATACGAATATTTATGTTTGTCAATTATTTGTTTCTCATGTTTATTGTTACTTGTTTAAAATTGGACACTGTGGAATAAAAAGGGATTTTTAAAATATGATACATGTATAGTTTTATGTGAAATTTCTTTCTCCATTTCAAGCAACACAAAATTTAAAATGAACCCTTTTCTTCTGATTTTTAATTTTTTTTCTTCTGATTTATTGACTCCGGAATCCATGACCTCAGTTTTCTTATTAAACTGTCCTGAGCGTTCTTTAATATTTCTATTACTGTTGGCACTTAAACTTATAAAGTTTTGAATTCAAGATGCACATTGTTTTGGCTGACATAAAGTATTATGAAATTCTGGAATGAAAATCTTCCAGCAATTGAACTTTGGGTTTTAAAAAAAAGGAATAGTTATAGTAAGGAACAAAATGGATACATTTTTTTCTGGTTTCTTTTAACTTAAGTGCCAAAGTTTCTGCCCCAAGTGAATTCAAACCATATCATTTCTTTCTTTTTTATTCAGGAGATAGCTCAAAAAAATTGTACATCAGGTAGTTTTTGTGTCACCGTGTTTTGTGTTTTAGGAATTAGAACAACGAAAACTTGAAAAACTGGCTAAATTGGGAATGAAGTATCATATACATGATATTATTGGAGCTGAGTTGGTTCAATGGCAAGTACTTCTTATTGATTTTCTTTTTACTTATGAATTTAGCGTCTATGCTAGTATTTTTGTTAGTATTTCGATATTGTTGGGAAGCGTTGTTGATAGTCAAGTTCAATAGGAAAAATAGTGCACTCTGAGGGTTCTTTAATGTTACTATTACTGTTGGCATTTAAACTTATGAAGTTTTAAATTCAAGATGCACATTCTTTTGGCTGATATAAAGTATTATGGAATTCTATGATGAAAATTCTACAAAAATCATGGGAAGAAAAGCCTACGCAATCACATACGTAACATAACTTGTGTACTACTAAGTACACTAGTTGTGGTATTAGTAGTAGTAGTAATAATAGTAGTTGGGGTTTTTATAAATCTTGGATATTTCAGAAAGATAATTCACACCCATATAAAACTTGTATTAAAATGAGTAACAGGCTGTTTCTTGTTCTCGGGTTTTTGCAGTGTGGAAACGACTTCAGGAACACTTCTTAGGCTAAAAAAAGAGGTGAAGAATAAATAGTAATTGCAAAATTCTTCCTTTGGCTTGTAATTCTAGTCCTTTGATAAACGTGTTGCAAGTGTTTCCACAAGTGAAGGTCAGTTATGAAATGTCTATTGTTACAGGAGAGATACTTTTTCAAAGTAACTTTTTCTAATATTTATTTTTCCTATTTATTGGAAATGAATCTATTTATTATTGTAAAGAATCAATTTATTAAAATACCTCATCAAACTCTGTTTTTGGTATCATAAAATGCTGTTTGTATGTAAATATCTGAATCAATAAATATTGGTATATTTCTCATAAACAATTTTTCTTGGCATATACCTTACTGCGTTGTGATGAGGAGGGACTGTCTACATGTTTTACTTGTAAAGGTCCACTTGCACAATGGCATTGTATCACCCCACAACCTGGAGTCTAGATGAAATAAATGTCTCATCTAATTCAGATCTTTGTAATAATTTTCTGGGCCCTACATTAAAAAGTACATGCAATAAGGTTTTTCAACCTTGAAGTTATTCATGCCTTTTAAAATGAGCTTGTGAAAAAAAGAAGGGAAATAGTGATTTTAGAAATTGTGTACAAGAATGAAAATAGGCATGGAATGCTGTACTGATTAGGGTGGAACATTGTTGCTACCTAGTTTGTTTTATGTAGTGTTTCCAAAATATTTAGTTTGAATATTTTTGGTCTAGCTCTTCATAAAATGAATTCATTCCCTCATTACTAATTGATGGTGATTTTAATGTTTCAAAGAGGCTAGTAAAAATACCATATTTTAAGGTAAATTTAAGAAAAGAGCATTTTCAGAATTAGAACAATTGTTGGATATTTCAGAAATGTTGATGTTTTAACTTCAAAATCTGAGGACAATGGTATTAATGAAAACTAAATTTTACTGTTAGATTTTTTCTCTTGGCCATAATTGAATAGTTAAACATTCTATTAATTTTGTTAAATACCATATTTACCTAATTTTAAATCAACTCTGAATATTAGATAACCCTCATATTTTGAAAAGTCCTCCTGAGAAGTTTTAAAATTTTAACTGATTCTTACTATTAAGACAAAATAAGATTGCAAATTCCCTTGTTGCTGAGATGGTTAAGAATTATTGCCTTAACTATCATTTTATTGTTCCTTAAAATCTTCATTATCTTATTTTTTGTCACAACCCTCAACATCATCTCATGAATCAATATTTCTTTCTTTTGGATTCTCCTGTGCTGCAACCTCTTGAGTTTTTAGGTGCCTCCAAAATTTTGGGAATGAATTTGCGTCATTGATTTTTGTCTTTCATGAGACAAAGCCATCTATAAATAAGGAACATTCCCTTCTGTCAACAGATTTTTTATCTATCCTACACGTGTTGATGGCCTCTTCTTCTTTAACAGAATAAACTTGAAATTTGGACTGTTTACTGTTCAAGTGATTGAGTTGTGAACTGTGATTTCCCTGTTTCCCGGGTACAATGGAAGACAGTAGCTAGTTTCCAAATTTGGGAAGTTTTACCTCAACATTTACTGGTTTCATGACATGGTAAGGCAATGTAAAACAAACTCAACTAGGCCTAATTGGAAAAATATATTAAAAAAAAAAATAGAATTAAAAAATATATAAAATATTTTATATTCTTTCCTCTACGTATTTCATGCCCAATTAATTGTTTAGAAAGTTTATTTTTAAAAACTGTTAATTTTTTAATTTAAATTAATGTTTTTTAAATTGTATATTTATTACAGAAAAAAATATTACAGAAGGAAATGAAAAATGGTATAATTTCTAAGCAATTTTGGCTGTAATTCAAAACGATAGAAACGTTATTGATTAAAATAGTGAAGTATTAATTAAGTTAAATACAGATATGAGAAAGGAATCGCGATGTTTAAAATGTAATATCAATGCGACAACTGCCGGTCTTTTTCGAAGATATTCAAATTACCCACAATTACTTCTTTTCTCCAGGCATAGCTCCCAAAATCATTTAATTCCACAGAGAAGTTAACGTAATCGAGAACACTTCTTTACCATGGAAAAATAGTTCTTATTCTATGTCCTTATAGTTTCCATGATATTTTCATGGAGGAACCTTATTCCATGGATTGTGATAGTTTGAAGATCCTGTTCCCGCGCGTGCTGCGCCGCGTGCCCGCGCGTTTGTTCACATTTGCCGCTAGTTTGTTGTGGTGGGTTGGATTCACCGGGCTTTGCTTGCAACAGGTTTTCCCGTAAACGACGAAGTGTCAGTGAAGTATCTTTGAAATATGTATGTAATATTGAGGGTGAGCTATTGAAAATTCACTTCGCAATATATTCCCTCAACGTAGTGTGAAGTTACATCTCAGTAGCATGGTAGTACCAGAAATGAACAGTGCCAGTAAAGGCTTCCTTCTGACCTCGGGAGGTGGGTTAGAAGTGGACAAGGTTCATGTTAGGGCAGATGGAAGTTATACAGACAAGTCACAAAAATTTATTCAGCAGGCAAAAGACTTTACCAAGCAATATGCTCACATATACGCTGTTCGACTTGTCAGAACGAGAGATGCTTTGACAAAACGAATTCATGAAAAATGGGGTATGTCGCACTTGTAATGGATTGCCTTGGGACTATCTTTAAAATTTTAATACTTTTTGTATTTGTTTGCAGGTGTAGATATTCCTGTCAAAAAGTTGATAGATCTTAATGAAGAAGACAATGAGCAGTGTGTAATAATTGGAACTTTATTCAAGCATCAGGAGCTCAAACCAAGTATTTTGAAGGAAATCAGTGAAGAGGTATGTAGAAACAGGTATTTGAAAGTGGCAAAATTAGTCATTTTTATTAAATAAATAATTTTTAATTTTACAGCATCAGTTGGCTCCACAACCCCCTCGCAAAAATTTTGTTGATGAAGAAGATCAGTTAATACTGGAAGATGAACAAGAAAGAATACGATTAATTGGAAAATTAAATGTTCATTCAGTGGTGACTGGTGTTGTGTGTGCAGTACTTGGTAAAGATACTGGTGATGGAAAATTTGAAGTAGTGGATTACTGTTGGCCTAATGTTCTGCCAAGAGTGAGAGAACCACTGTCATCTGAAGATAAAAGGCAAGTATTTTTATCTGAAATAAGAATAATTAATTGTTTGAAAATTAGAATAATTACATTTATTTGCAAAAAATATTTTCTTTTTCATTTCCTTACAATTTAAATGCATCCTTAGTAGAGGTTCCCAAAAGGATTGGTGTCAATCTCCTGGGGTTGAATAAAATTTTGGAGATCATTTAAGGTCAAAGGGTCAATTGTGGGTTGATATGAGGCTCACTGGTCGATATAATCAAGGTCTCATAGACTACAAAAATATATTTAAAGTTGGTAATTAATTAATTGTTTTCTGATATTAAGCTAGAAAACGTCTAATAATAAATAACATTTTTTTCACTCACAGAATTTCACATTAATTGCACTCATGAATATTGAACTTTTGCAATTAGAATGTGTGATTTTGTTTCTCAAAACTGGGATCTTGATTGTGAAGTATTTTAATGTTGTTTTAATTTTAGAAAATAGATAAAGCAAGCTCAAACAACTTTGTTAACCTAATTTTTGTTGTAAGGTTGTCACTGTCACATTCTACTTTTTCCCAACCACTATGGACTTCCCTCTTGCTGGAACGGTGCAAAATGCTGTTGTAAATGACTTCCTTAAGTTATAAACTTCAGACGAATTTTCTCTACGTACAAATTCTCCCCCATCGAAATCCCCAGAACCAAAATGAATATAACCATAACACACCTAAATAAATGTACAAAATGTTTCTTATATTAACGTCCAATTTACAGAAATGTTCATTTTATGATTATTTGTATTATACTATTTGATTTTAATTACCTGGTTTTGTAAGACTTCTTAAATTACACAAAGATACTAATTTGATTTGACTGAGTTGTATTTACATTGCGGTAGTTCCATTAATAAGTTCTGCAATGATTTGCATTGTATAGGTTTATTGTTCTGGTAAGTGGATTGGGACTGGCTAACAATGCAGATGCACTCCTACCTCTGCAGCTGCTTACTGATTGGATCAGTGGGCTTCTTGGTGATCCTGAAGAACAAAGGAATCAAGCACAAGCTGTACGATTAATTATTGCTGGTGAGGTGCATTGGTTTTCTAAGTTTCATGATGGTGACGAATGTTAAAATAATTGGCAAGTGATGTGTATTATTTCCTAATTATTTTTCCTATTTTTGTCAATAAGGTAATTCAGTCCGTGATTGTGCACCCCATAAGGTATCAGCTATTACAAATGCATTTAAAATAGATGTGGAAGATACACTGAATGCTACTAGACATCTTGATGACTTCCTTCATCAACTTGTTGTAAGTTTTTTTATTTGTTATAATTAAGTAATTTATAAAGCTTGTTTTTATTTATTGCTCAGGTTTAATTGATTGCTTGGAAAATTCCTGGCACATCACCGGGGCCACTTCCTCCCCTCTCTTCTGTGTGGGTGGTTCACTACAGCGTTCTCTACAAATGTAGAGTTGCCTAAAGTGAGCTTGAGGGATTGTGTATGTGTCCCCTGTGGCAACTCGTGTGCCCTAGGGTCACTATTTTAACAGGCCTGATTTATTGTGAGAGGTCAATATTATCAACAACACAACTAATGGTAGTTTAAATATACTTGGTAAAATTTTTACTTTCTTGCTCTTAAGAAGGTACTTAGAAGTGGATAAATCCAATTCTAAATTTAGAAAAAAAATCCTCTAACACGTGGTTTAATCAGAAACCATGTTTTGTGGTTCCTTGATATTGAAAATTTGAATGATGGTGCCGGTGATATGGCTCAGGGCATCAACTGATGTCACTGCAGTCCCTCTGGTCAGGAGGTCCTAGTTCGAGTCCCGATGGTGGCAGGTGAAAAAAACACAAAAGTTATTATTTTGTGCATAAATGAAGGTTTATGGTTGCAAATCATAGCCTATAGTTCTCCTGGCCTTCAAAGGAAGTTAGCATCAATGTTTCATTGATATTGCTCCAAGTACATTCAGAGATTATTGTGCTGTATCACTGCGCCCTTGTATGTACATATTAGTGAAGATTTTGGCTATTCATGAGGGCATGGTACAAGGGTATATCTAAATTTGTGTAGATGAGATAGGTAAATAATGGAATAGATCAGCCATACAGAAAGTATGAATTGTTTTTATGGCACCAATTTTGTTGAACCGACTGCTACTGAACTGTTTGATCTCAATATTTAGTATCAGTTAAAAAATTGTGTGCATTTAGCATCATTATCATTATCAGTAATTTGGGAGTAGAAGGTCTATTCCTTTTATCCAGTATTATCTTAGTAACCCCAGTATCCTGGTTGTACATTTTTCTTAGTTGTCCTATCTCTCTTGTTCCCCTTTGTTTATATTTCAGGAACTGTTTTAATGAATATGGTGGTCCGATTATCTTTGTGGCCCTTCCATTTCTTCTGGTATTTCATTGAGTCTTATATAAGGTTTTTGATTGATTCTTAAAGTTGATCTGAAATTCCTCATTTGGGCCAATTTGATTCCTGGTCTGTCTATTGCTTTACAGTAGTGTTCATTTTGCAAAATATAAAGTAATTTTGATTTTTAAGGTAATGTGGTGAAAGTCTTTTATTCAATCTTAGCTTTTGCTACCCCTCTTAGCAGTAATTTGACAGTTTTGTTTCAAAGTCTTTTGTGTGGACATTTTGTTATTAAAGAGTGACCTTTGTTCTATTATTTATTTGTGCATGTGTTTTAATAATTTAATCACCTTGTGTTCTTTCAATTATTTTGCAGTTTGTAAATTGGAAAATGCAAAATATTAAAGCTGAACAATTTAAAGGTTTTGTATCATTGTATTTTTTGCTTTTGTAACTGATGCTAATGTTATGTAGTCAATAATGACCAGAGCAGTCAATGTGACTTTTATAAATACATAAATTAAAAAATGAAGATTTTTCTGTGAACTATTGCTTTGCTGTACAATTGTACATACAAAAAGTGTGGGGAGTCTTCTTTTTATGGACTCCCTTTATAAAAGGAAGTTTGTTTGCTGTAGAATATTGTGTGTTATTTAAAAAAATTGCTAACACTTAGTTATTCCAAATCCTATTTCAGAATAAATGATGGAATAGAACAATATGTAAAATTATAATCTATTGTAAATGTTGGGACTATCCATGATTTGTGAAAATCATAAACTTTTTTAGACTTTCTTTTAATAAGTATTTGTTTTGAAGATAGTTATTGTATTTCTTGTTGTTTGTCTTCTTGAGTTTTTCAGGTTTTAGTTCAGGAATTGTCTGTAAATATATTGTGACTATTGTGTGAATTGAATTATTAGAGTAACCAGTTTCCCTTTTAGTTTTAATATCATTTAACCTTTCTTCATTATCATAATGAATCCTCCTCTTGTATCTGCAAACTTTTTTTTTTTCCACAGAGTTTTATAGATGTGGATGTAATGCCTGGAGAACATGATCCAGCTAATCACATGTTACCACAGCAACCATTACATTTCTGCATGTTTCCAAAGGTATGGGAACTAGTAATCTTGTATTAACTCACCTTAGAGGTATTTTTAATTAATATGCTTTATTGATATATAGACATAAAGTGAAATTATTTGTTCTATAGGCAAATACTTTTGAAACACTTCATTGTAAAACAAATCCATATGAATGTGAAGTGGCAAATTGCCGAGTGTTGGGTACATCAGGGCAGCCTGTGAATGATGTTGCTGCATACAGTAAAGTGGAAGATCCCTTGACAATTCTCCAGCAGACATTGGAATGGGGTCATATAGCTCCTACATGTCCAGATACTCTCTGTAAGTATACGGTATGATTGTGACTTTGTAGCGAATGACCATTCTGATTGATGTTTGATGAATTCTGAAAGGCTATTGGTTTTGTAATTCAAGATAAGAATACCATAGTCACTTATATGTAGTTTTATACGCAGTGAGTATGAAGAGAACTCTTGGCGCTTTAGTTCCCCTTTCCCTGATGCCAATGACATATTCAGAAAACAATTTTCAGTAGTAATAAGTCGTTCAGTAAAACAATTTATTATATAAATAACTATCTTTCAAGAGAATTTAATCAATATATACGTATAAATTAATAAATGTATGTATGTACTTCGGCACAACAGCTCTTTACGAGCTAAAGCTTACCAGCATCGTCCTGGCCTTGCGACCGTGGGTTAAGGGGTGTGTGTTGGTAGCACATAGCCATCCCTACACTGTATTTCTGGCATTCTCAACTTCAGAAGTGAGCTTTCTCATTGTCACATGGCAACAGATACTGGGACATTGCAAGGAAAGTGCACAATTAATTTTTGCCCCTGACTGGGAATCGAACCCGGAATTGCACCATGGAAAGCAAGTACGCTATTGAATGAGCCACCAAGAGCATATAAATTAATAAATAAAAATTTTAAAAACAAAATAAAGGAAAAATTAATTTATTAGAAATCATACATTTGGTGGTTACATCAGTAACAGCAGATAAGCCGTTAAAAATTGTATTGTAATTGAAACTCTGAATTTTATTAGAATGGTTATTGGCTGTTCTTACCTCTTTTGGACGTGACTTTATTATTTTTATTCTAAAACAAAACAGTATTCTGAAGAAGAAGCGACACAAATTTTTTTAACTGTTGAAAATAAAAATATACTTCATTGAAGACAAAGGATAAAAATTCTAATTAACTGTACTTTCAGTGTTGTTGCCATAATATTACTGAAATAATATTTTGTTGCAGCGGGTTTCCCATATTATGATGAAGATCCGTTCATTATTACCGAATGCCCAGATGTGTACTTTGCGGGTAATCAACCAGCCTTTCAGACTAAGTTGTATGAAGGTAAGTAGCCTTTTTAAGTATAATGAAACCGTGAAATAGATGAATTTTGAATGTGATTTTGTTCTTCTCTTTGATTTTACATGTGAAGTACACATATTGAGATTGGAGACATAAATGAATATTGTTGATCCTTTTTTTCCATTCAGGCCCAGAAGGGCAGAGAACTCGACTTGTGTGTATCCCATCATTTGCCAAGACTCACAGTTGTGTGGTTGTGGAATTAAATTCCTTGGACTGTTATCCTGTATCGTTCGGCGCTGGGGATTTTGCGGATTCAGAAATGTAGACTTGCATTGTGTGATTATTTATACTCAGCATTATGAACAGTTACACTGCCCTGCTGATATAAATGATGTCTCCTTCTGTTGCATCTCAGGTAGGGAGTTTCAAAAGTTCAAGAGAACATAATATTTCGTTTGTGTATATAGCCTTTTAAAATCCTGTTAGCTGAATGTCTATTTTGTATAAACGTATTGAAAGTTCTAAGAGAGGACATGTGAAAACATCTAAACATTTACACTGATAAATTTCAATGTTATGTGATAAAATTTACAATAATTGTTAGGAGAGGTTATTCCAAAAATATGATTTTATATTTACTTGTTATACTCCTTTCCCTTCTGAAACGAAAACATATTTTTTTAATCCTCCCAGAAAGCTCTATTTTGCAATACCAATTTGCTATTAACTGTGAGAATTGAGTGTTGTTGGTATTACAATGTGTTTGTATGTGTGTGCAGGCTGTATCAAATTAGGAAATTGTTTACCTTTATTTTCAAAGTGAATCTTATCATTCCTGTCCCACACTTATATGTAGTGTTATGGAAATGGAGAGAAATTGATGTTTGTAATTTGTTTGACACTGCCCTGTATTATATTCTCTCTAGGTTTTTCAGCAATGTGTTCTAGTATTGCAATTTTATTATAATTACATTTAGATTATTTCTTTCCAAAGAAAATTTTTTGGATTATTAATTATTAAAATTAATTAGGAAATCTTTGCTTCAGCGGTACAAAACAGTTTTCTTAGACTGATATAACTTTCTCCTCTGTTTACACTATTTAGAATGTTCTCTACAACATTGAAAATGTATTACACAGTATTTCAGACAAATAAATTAATTTTTAATCATCAAAAAATATTTTTTTTCTTTCCTTGTAAAAAATTAATTTTTCCTTAATAGTTCATTAATTTCATTTTAAACTTTCCATTTATACATTTTTAATTCGATAACGTTTATATCTTTGTTAACAAAAAGGTATTCTTTTACATTGTATTGCAGTGGCCCACACAGTGAGTAAAGGGGTTATATTTCTGAGCTATTTTGCTAAAATGTGAAAACATCAATTAATTTATTAAATTTTTCACTGAGTTATTTTTTATGCGCAGTCGGTGGCTTGTTGGTTAGCATATGCGATTGTGGGTTCGATTCCCGGTCAGGGCAAAATTAAAACCGTGTTTTCCTTACAAAATATCCCAGTGTCAACTACTGTGTGATGATGAGAGAGGTTATGAAGGTCAGAATATGGTGGAGGGATGTCTGTCTGCTAACTAACCCTTTATCCCAAAGCCATGTTGCACCCAAACCGTTTACCCATGGACGAGAGGCTGGGCCACCGCTGTTCGGCCAAGGCTGAGCTATTGAGCTAAAGTACGTTCATTTTGAAGTTACAATAGTAATTTGAACTTTATCTTTTAATTTTTTAGTATACTACTTCCCAGTATAGAAAAATATTGTAATGGAGCAAATAGAGCAATTTTTCCATTGAAAAACTTGTCCTGAGGGGCCCTGGTACCAATAAACTGTGTAAATTTTGTTCAAATGTGTAGTAAATTACTGCATAGTCAGCATCCGTTTTATTTATCTGAAAAATTGGTTTATGGCAAAACGGAAACTTTTGTTGGTCTGTCCAAGTACAACACTAGTAGCCAAGTTGGGCAAGATTTTCACGAAAACTGATATTCCCTGACTGGTGTGGCATATGTTGTGGAACCTTGAATTTTAAATGGATATTTTGATTGGTGGGGGTCTTTTACATAAAACCTTTTTAAAATTCTCGCCCAGCCAAGGCGAGAGAGTGCACTGGTGTGAGATAATTTTTTTCTTCTGGAGGCAACGAGATCCGCCGATCACGAGATTCCCGTATCCTCTACGGTCAGAGTATTCCAAGTTGTGAGCAGTCCTAGCCAGACGAGGATCGGAAGAGACTCGTACTTAAAACTTCTTAGTGTAGAGCAAGGATTTCTCCCATGCACTGCCATCTTATTGGAATTAAAAATGTCTGTGACAAAGGACACTACTGAAAAAAGTTAATAGAACGCCTATCTGTTCTCCGTGAAGAAAAAATAACAGAACTAGTTCGAGCTAGCAGTAGTTGGGGGAATTTCAAGGTAAACCTAATACAATTTTTCAGGTGATTCGTGATAGCACGTACGGCATTTACTTGAGTCGGAATTCATATGCAGTTTTCGTGCGTTTTCCAGTGTATTTTTAATTTTATTTTTAATTTTTTGTCTGTGTATGTGGAGTTTTGAAAATACTTTCAAATATTGAGTAATTATTTTTTGACGATCAATTTAATTAATGATTAAAATCAAATAACTGGACTCCTAAGAAAATAATCAAACGTTTCGTTACATATTAATATATTACACATCGTCGGCGCACAAGAATAGTGAACCTAGTGGTGCTAATACAGAGCGTACTTTCTCGCTCGCACTTTCATGCAAAATTTCGCGACAAGAATTTAAATTTTCGAAAAATTGTTCATGAGCTTACTTCAACGTGTACCGGTCCCAAGGCGTGATCTCGTCCCGGTTGTCGGCAAGAGATAGCCCGATGCGCGTGTGTGATTATCACGCATCTGAGCACATGCTCATTATGTCATCAATGTTGTTGTTTCTCTTTTAGCTTTCGTTTGTGCTTATACGTTTAATGCTTACCGATCTGAATTTATTTTGGCAGTGCCATATTAATTATCATTTATTCTGAGATGATTTCAATCCTAAAGGACACCTATGGTGTTTTCTAAAGCTATTTAAATAATTATTTGTGAGAGTTAATTCTTAGTGAACTAATTTTGTAACCATCTATTCAGTTAAATTGTTTCTTAATTCAAGTAGTGCCTCCTGAAATACCCTGAATGTTAGTAATTTTCTTAGAGTTTATGTGTTTCTATCTGAAAAATCCACAGGTTGTACTCGTATGTATGCTTCCAAACATACTGTTCCTTCGAAAGGCGATCGTGGTAAGTGGTAGATCTTGCAGCTATTATAGAGAACCCCCTTAAACAGTCCACTGCTCTCACTAGTTAGCTCCTCCAATGCTATTACTGAATTATTAAAATTATATAAACAATTATGCAAAACTGGATTATGATATCAGAAATTGTGCTGTTGAGGCGAATGGTCAAATTTAAGTGAAATTATCTTATTTTGTTATAAAAACAAAATCACAGTAAGAATGACTGTTGGGAGGCGTACGAAGACTTATTTCCGGGTACGAACACATGCCTGCTCCTTTCTTTTCATTAGTAGTAAGGATGACATCTGTCCCGAGAAGTTCGATACATTTTCAACGCGATATGACATCTCACCAAGATCTGCGCCCGCACGTAAGGTACTCGAGCCTGTGTGGGTGTCTGCGAAGGTCGTTGACATGCCCCTCCGTATGGCTACGAGAATATTGGAGTCACCTCATTCTCGAGAATGCATTCTCGTTGCACGAGATTTTCGTGGGCCCCACTCTCGTTCTAGCTTATGAGAACGAGAGAGAATATAACACATAAATGGCTTTAGTTACCTTTAGAAACGACACAATGAGCCATGAACGTCTTATAATCCATTCTAACACAAGGTGAACAATTGAATCTACTGACTCATTCATTCATTGACACGGTTCATTCTATTGACTTATGTATTGAACGGTCACCATAAATTTCTTATCAACCCAAACATTCTCAAAAATAGCTTGAAATTTGTTGTTTAATTTTTTTTCGGATAGAAAAAAATGCATATAAGGATGTCTTATTTTCGTGGAATTTCTTGGATTATCTAGTATATGAATTGATCAATTTTATTTTTGACCTCTTCCTACAACTACAATACTGAATGTTAAGTTTTTCTTCCAATGAAATTTGTTTTATCCAATTATTTGTTTAATCTTTGTCGCGTACACATTTTGAAAGTGGTAGTTGATTTCGCGTAATATTGAGTGAATATAATCAATATTAAAATGAGGAATTATTCCCCTTGTATCCCCTGCCGATTGAACTTATTTACAGTTTGCGTGGTTCGCACATCTAATTATAAAGTTCCTGATTTTATCATAGAAACTACGTTTATCGAAAAAAATATCACAGGTTTGGAATCAGGATGTGTCAAATAGTAAATGTCATATAATTTTTCTTTGTTGACCATTCTTATTCGTGTGTTTCATATTTATCTTATCTCCCCATAACCTTAGACTCAAAGTGAGGCCCATGAATTTTAGAGTAAAAATGGTAATCTCTTTTTAGAATTAATATTGGTTGAACGACAGATTGCGGTAGTGTGTGAACAAACTATTATAATGTTTGCCAGCGTTGTAGATTTGAAGGAAGTGTTACAAATTTTAAATACTGTTGATTTCACAATTGAATAGATGACCAAACAATGAGGCGCTTGCCAGGCCAATGCTCAAATGTAGTCACTGCCGAAACCCATGCACACAGAGTAATCATGAGCTAGGAAATTCGGATAATAGTAAAACGTCCTGGGTGGTTGCTGGTTATGCAAGGAGTCCCCAGAAGACATCCAAGCCCAGGATGCAAGCCCAGGAAGCGGGCGCCAAGAAAATTGGAGGGGCAACCAAATCCCACGAGGCCCAGAGGTACACTCTAGCCCCCCCCTCCCCGTCCAAGATAAAGCTTCGCCGCAGGCACCGAAAGAAATGGACTTCCTCGATATTGATTTAGCGTTTTCGGCCCGACCTTTCCTCGTGTGATGTTGACTTTATCGAGTGGGTGCGTGGAATAGGCGACTGCTGGGCCGCCCGCGTAGGCCCGTAGGCAAGCGGCGCGGCGCTGCACAGTCCAAGAACTCTGCGAAAAAGTTGACCGCAAACTGGGCCCCACTGAAGGATTGTCAGTAATGGTGTTAGGAATGATGTCATTTGGTATGTTCAAACCCGTCTTCTTGGACTCATTTTCAAATATTAGATCAATTTTTTTATAATTGGAGTATTAAATACGAAATTTGATTGAAAACATTTGTGTACCTTGAATTCAGTCATATTTTAAGTTAATGCATTCGTGATTCGATTGCCCGTTGTTAAATTTTTTATATATAAAAAGCCTAGTCGAATCCTGCCCCCCCCCCCGGCGGCTTATGGCTGGCGAGTTTGCTTTCCACACCGCAGCCCGTGTGTCTGTGTGATAAGGTGAATGTATCTCGCCGGTAACGAGAATGTCAATAAATGGTGTAAGGGGTTCCGGCCTACTTAACCTAGATCTCCCGGACCCATGGCTGTCAGGGCTGGGACGCCATGACTGTTAAGGCCTGTACATCATATAAACCATCATCTCTGAACTGAGTAAAATCTCACTTGGTTGCTATTGACAGGTGCCAAATTGACACATGATGCTGCCATGACGTGCATCGCGACGTTAGTTTATGAAACTGTAAATCAGAGAAAGATCGACGTTTACGTGATGCAGCGAAGAGATGTTATTTCTTTTTTATAAAAATCCTGTTTTGAGTATCGTGATCGTTAAGTACTAGAGATAACGCTTAGTTTGATTGCACGTGCTTTCTTACTTAGCTCAAACTCCACCCCAAGCTTTAGCCATGCTGTGACATCAACTTGCCGTTTGTCAAGGCTTAATATAATTAGTAACTCGCAATTAAACGTAAGTATTTCTGTAATTTTCATTATATTAAAATTAAAAATAAGATTTTCTCAAGCAAGAACTATATAAATAATTGAAGTATTCGGAATTAAATAGTTCTGTGGCACTTCATACTGAAATTGAACTATAAAACGAAATATGTAGTATACCTATAACAATAAGGAATCTACAACACATTTTGCTATGCTACTCTGCTTTTTGTTTTAATACTACCTAGGTACAAATCTGGGAAATCTAAACTTTTCTCAAAA